TATTGTTAGTTGATGGTTTAAAGCATGACTTACTTAGCATTAGTCAATTATGTGATAAAGGTTTTAGAGTTGTATTTGATAAGAATAATTGCATAATTGAAAATGCTAGTGATAGAAAAGTTTTGTTTGTAGGAAATAGAGACGATAATGTGTATACTATTGATTTGAATGATTGTCCTACAAATGATAAATGTCTTTCGGTTTTGATTGATAACTCTTGGCTATGGCATAGAAGACTAGGACATGCTAGTATGTACTTGATCTCAAATATTTCAAAAAATTCATTAGTGAGAGGTCTCCCTCAACTTAAATTTGAAAAAGATAAAATTTGTGACGCTTGTCAAATGGGTAAGCAAACTAAGTCTTCTTTCAAATCTAAAAATATGATTTCTACTACTAGACCTCTTCAACTACTCCATATAGACTTATTTGGCCCTTCTAAAATAGCTAGTTATGGAGGAAATTATTATGCTTTTGTGATAGTGGATGATTTTTCAAGATTTACTTGGTTTTGATGATAAAACATAAGAATGATGTTTTGAAAAGATTTGCTAGTTTTGTAAAAAGAGTTCAAAATGAAAAAGGGTTTTTAATTACTAAAATTAGGAGTGACCATGGGGGAGAATTTAACAGTGTTGCCTTTGAAAAATTTTGTGAAGATAATGGTTTTTCTCATGACTTCTCCTCTCCAAGGACTCCTCAACAAAACGGTGTGGTTGAAAGGAAAAATCGTACTTTACAAGAATTTGCTAGATCAATGTTAAATGAGTATGATTTACCTAAATATTTTTGGGCGGAAGCCGTTAATACCGCTTGTTATATTTTAAATAGAGTTTTAATTAGACCTTCATTAAATAAAACTCCTTATGAACTCTGGCATAACAAAATTCCAAATGTTGGGTATTTCAAAGTTTTTGGTTGTAAATGTTTTATTTTGAACAACAAAGAAAAGCTTGGAAAGTTTGATTCAAAAACGGATATTGGTATTTTTCTTGGCTATTCATCTACTAGTAAAGCTTATAGAATTTTCAATAAGAGAACTTTAGTTATTGAAGAATCTATGCATGTGGTATTTGATGAATCTTGCAATAATATTTCTAATGAGTCTATTTGTAGTGATGATTTAGAAAGAAATTTTGGAGATTTACTCGTTAGTGACAACGGCAAAGAAATTGTTACGAGTAAAGAAGAGATGAGCTTAAAGGAAGAAGGTTCTTCATCAATGCCAAAAGAATGGAGGTATGCCTTGTCTCATCCCAAGGACTTGATTCTTGGTGATCTCGAACAAGGTGTGAAAACTCGCTCTTCTATTAATTTATTTAATAATCTTGCTTTTGTTTCTCAAATTGAACCAAAAAGTCTTAAGGATGCCGAAAATGATGAGTTTTGGATTTTAGCCATGCAAGAAGAGCTAAATCAATTTGAAAGGAACAAAGTTTGGGAATTAGTCCATAGGCCATCTAATACTTCTATTATTGGAACCAAATGGGTTTTTAGAAATAAAATGGATGAAAATGGGAATATCATTAGAAATAAAGCTAGGCTTGTAGCTCAAGGTTATTGTCAAGAGGAAGGCATAGATTATGAAGAAACTTTTGCACCCGTTGCTAGATTAGAAGCTATTAGAATGTTACTTGCTTTTGCTTCTTACAAAAATTTTGTATTATATCAAATGGATGTGAAAAGTGCATTTTTGAATGGTTATATTATGGAGGAAGTTTATGTAGAACAACCTCCCGGATTTGAAAATGTAGAATTTCCTCATCATGTCTATAAGTTGAAAAAGGCTCTTTATGGCTTAAAACAAGCTCCAAGAGCTTGGTATGATAGACTTAGTAATTTTCTTATTGGGAATGATTTTAAAATGGGCAAACTCGACACTACACTCTTTATTAAGATTAAAGAAAACGATATGCTATTAGTGCAAATATATGTGGATGATATCATATTTGGTTCTACTAATCCTTCTTTATGTGAAGAATTTTCTAAATGTATGCATAGTGAGTTTGAGATGAGTATGATGGGAGAACTCAGTTTCTTTCTTGGACTTCAAATCAAACAACTCAAGAATGGTATCTTCATCAATCAAGAGAAATACACTAAAGATTTGCTCAAAAGATTCAAGTTCAATGGAGGTAAGATTGCAAGAACTCCCATGAGCACATCCACTAAGCTTGACAAGGATGAAAAAGGTAAAAGTGTGGATATTAAAGCTTATCGAGGTATGATTGGATCTTTACTTTACTTGACCGCTAGTAGACCCGATATTATGTTTAGTGTATGTCTTTGTGCTAGATTTCAATCTTGTCCTAAGGAATCTCATTTACATGCCGTTAAGAGAATATTTAAATATTTGCTTGGAACTATTGATCTAGGATTGTGGTATCCTAGAAATGTTGAATTTAAATTGGTAGGATATTCTGATGCAGATTTTGCCGGAAGCTTACTTGATCGTAAAAGTACTAGTGGAACTTGTCAATTTCTTGGTAGTTCCTTAGTTTCTTGGTTTAGTAAAAAGCAAAATTCGGTTGCCTTATCTACTACCGAAGCGGAATATATTGCGGTTGCTAGTTGCTGTGCTCAAATTCTTTGGATGAAACAAACTCTTTGTGATTTTGGATTAAAGTTTCATAGTGTGCCTATATTTTGTGATAATACAAGTGCTATTAATTTAACTAAAAATCCTATTCATCATTCTAGAACTAAACATATTGACATTAGACATCATTTTATTAGAGAGCATGTGCAAAATGGACATATTATTCTTGATTTTGTAAACTCTAATAATCAACTGGCCGATATTTTCACCAAGCCATTGAATGAAGAAATTTTTTGCAAAAATAGGCTTGAGCTTGGTATTATTCGTTGTGATATATCTTGAATTTTATAATTTTTGAATGCATGTTGTTAGGGGGAGCCATTATGTCATTATTAAATGCATTCTCTTTCAATTGTTCATTTTGATGATTACAAAGGGGGAGAAAATTAAGAAAAATATGTTCTAAATTTGTTATTTTATAATTTATGAATCATTTACTTGGTGTTTCATAATTTCTTGAGGCATTAATATAAGGGAGAATATGCTCTTGAGTGAAATTTATGATAATATATTAGTATGTAGTGATATTATTACATGGATGTTGTATTATTGGTTTTTATGAATTTTTCTTTAAATGATTTGTCATCATCAAAAAGGGGGATATTGTTGGCTTATTGGCCCTTGATCTCACATTAATTAATTTCAATGAATTAATTATTGATGTTTTGATGATAACAAACCTACTTTTAATTATTAACTATTTTCAGTTTTTTGAACTGTCCACAGTATAAGGTCGGGAATAACGATTACAACAACTTTTCAATTACTCAAATCAGAGCTAAAACGAAGAAATTAGAGTCGAGACAACATACCCGACGTGATGATGTGGCAACAAAATCAAAATGATGGACAAATCAAAATATATCAAAGTATGACATTTATAATATTGGAAGAGTAACACATGGTGGAGTTTTTCTTATTATTACATTTCTAAATAAAATTATTTTTACAAATATAAATTTGAATATAACCGTTACTCACATCGAATTTTATTATTACTATATTATATTATTATATTATTATATTTTAAAATTTTGGTAGTTACTCACATCATTTTTATTATTATTATATTATTATATTTATAATAAATTTTGAATTACATTTTACCGTTACTCACATAACTTTTTATTATTATTATATTATATTACTATTATATTAAAATTTTGAAATAAATGAATTTAGAAAATTTTCTTACTTAATTACTTTTAATCTCCACCTTCCATTATTCCTAACACAATCCAATGGTCAATATTCAATCCTACATTTTGCCACTTTTCTCCTCTATATAAACTCATCTTCCCCACATTTTTAAAAGATACAACTTACATACATTCTTCAATCCTCATTTGTTCAAAGTCTCCATTGTTTATTGCTCTCTCCAAGCTTACAAGTTTATTTCTTTTCATCTTATTCTTGAGAGGGATTATTATTATATTGTGAGGAAATAGTTGTCAGTATCCCAAATTGTAAATCTACTCTTTGAGAGAGTTGTGGTGTGTTATTATCAAACTCAAATACTTGTATCGGTTTGATCCTGCGTCGTTGAAAGGATTGAGTTTGCTCTTGAACTCGTAAAAAGAGCGGTGTACCGGTTTGGCTCTGATCCGTGGAAAGAGTCGGAAAAGTTCTTTATTCAAATTCCCAAGAGGCGCTTGGGGAGTGGAGTAGGTCGAGTTTGACCGAACCACTATAAAACTACGGTGTCATTTTCTCTAACTCTTTCCTATTTAATTTCAAGATTATTATTATGTTTATTGCATGTTCTACTTGATTATTGTTTTGACTTGAATTATTTTGCTTTAGTAATTATCATCTTCTACTTATTTGTAAAAAGTTTTATCATTAGAAAAATTAATCAAGTTTAAACACTTTTATCGTTAAAACCCTATTCACCCCCCCTCTAGGGTTGCCATACCGATCCAACAGAGCTTTGGTGGCAATTACAGGAACTAGAAGAGGTAGCATATACTACCTCAACGGAACCACAATAATTGGGCATGCTGCTGTGGCAAGTTCGAAAGAACAAGACATATCGAAATTATGGCACATGCGACTCGGGCATGCTGGTGAGAAGGCGCTTCAGACACTGGTGAACCAAGGAGTTCTTAAGGGTGCCACAACTGGAAGAATTGATTTCTGAACATTGTATATTTGGCAAACAAAAAAATGTGAAGTTTGGTACAGCTATACACCAAACAAAGGGCATTTTGGATTATGTTCACACTAATGTATGGGGTCCCACAAAGAATGTCTCATTGGGAGGAAAGAGGTGGTTCGTCACCTTTATTGATGACTACTCGAAGAGAGTTTGGATGTATCCCATGAGGCACAAAAACGAGGTTCTCCAAATCTTCCTAGAGTGGAAGAAAATGGTAGAGAATCAGACGGACAAGAAAATCAAAAGGCTGAGGTCAGACAACGGGGGAGAATATACTTATGATCCATTCCTTAAAGTATGCCGAGATGAAGGGATCGTTCGACACTTCACTGTTCCTGGTAAGCCACAACAAAATGGAGTTGCTGAGAGAATGAACCAGACATTAATAGAGAAGGTTCGATGCATATTGTCTCAAGCAGGATTGAGTAAGGCATTTTGGGCTGAGGCTCTCAGTTATGCAGTTCACTTGGTGAATCGTTTACCTGTTTCTGGAAACGGTGGGAGAACTCCGCTTGAGGTATGGTCAGGTAGTCCTGTTAGTGATTATGATAAATTACATGTGTTTGGGTGTCCTGCTTATTATCATGTGACAGACTCAAAGCTGGATCCTAGAGCAAAAAAAGCCAAGTTTATGGGCTTTAGCAAAGGTGTGAAGGGCTATAGGTTATGGTGTCCAGAAACAAGTAAGATTGTTAATAGTCGAGATGTGACATTCGATGAGTCTGGAATGTTTTTGCAGAAAATTGAAAATAATGACGAGGCATTGAAGCAGGTGGAGAAGGTGGTGTTCTCTCCTGATGTGGTTGCTCCTACTGAAGAACCTATTGACCAGGTAAATAATAACTTTGATGTCTTAGAACAGAAAGAGCAAAGTCTGGAGGAGCAAAGCCTTGTAAATGAAAGAGTGGAGGAACCTGAGTCTATCGCCAAGAATAGACCACGAAGGGTAATTCGAAAACCTGCAAGGTTTGATGATACGATAGCATATGCTTTCTCTATAATTGATGGAGTTCCCAACTTACGTATTGAGGCTTGAGGTGGTAGCAACCAACTCAGTTATCAACTTGGAGATCTTATGACAAGGTGGAGATTGTTGTAAATTGTCATTAAGTTTTGATTTGTTTTGGAGATCTTATGACAAGGTGGAGATTGTTGTAAATTGTCATAAGTTTTGATTTGATTTGGTTTTTGGATTATATTTGATTTGGTTATTTGAATTAGATTTGATTTGGTTATTTGAATTAGATTTGATTTGGTTATTTGAATTAGATTTAGTCACACCAGGGTTTAGTTATATATCGGGATTTGATATCAGAATTTGGTATCGGAATTTGGGAGAGCTTTCGGAGTCACATTGTATTTGTTGAGTGACATGTGTTCTGAGTCTTTGTAGTGTGATAGTGAGATATTCACTTGTAATGCTTTGGTTTATTAGTGATTGGTTCGTGGATGTAGGGGAACTTCTCTCCGAACCACGTAAATATCTTAGTGCCTCTTTGTGTAAAATCGTTCATTGGTGTTGTGAGTACCTTTGTTCCGCTTTCGGCGCACAACACTCAACATGTGTAGGAACAATCAAAGAAATGGCTGTAATTTAGTATACAAAATGCTTTTTTTATGGTAAATTGCTATTTTGTGTTTATAAATTTCCGATGCATATTAATATGATCCAGCCAATATTATTCAACTAACTCTTAACCCAATTAAAACCAAACTTTAGGATCTTCCTAAATAACTCCCTTTTCCCAATGCTAATGACCTAATAAATATAAAATAAAAAATTTAAGAAATTAGTTAATACAAAATTAAAAATTTAAGAATCAAATATATATTTTTATGGCCCTAAAATCAATTATATATATATATATATATATATATATATATATATATATATATATATATATATATATATATAGTTTAATAGTTTAAGATCTAAAGAGAGAGATTTTTTTATTTATTATTTTCTTGAATTTAAAGATTAAATAAATACAAAATTAAAATTTTGAATACTAGATTTATAATTAATTTTTAAATTTTAGTAACTCTATTAAATATTTTAAAAATATTTTAGAGATTAAATAAATGCCAACTTAAAAAAAAATGGAAACTAAACTCATAGTTATTTTATAAAGTTTATGAACACAAATTTAAGATTTATGGATATATTAAATAATTTTTAAAACTTAAAAACTAACTGGATTTAGAAATAAATTTACAATTTAATTATATCAAAATCATTATTTATTTAAATTTAATAAAATCAATATTAAAAAAGCAAAATTGTTGTTCCACCCCTTTTTAGCTTTTGACGAGACGCTTGGAACGTAGAAGTTCGGATTCAGAGACGACTTCTCTGTTTCTGGTTAGAAATGGGCAAAATTGCCTTTTTCATCAAAGATTCGAATCTCCTTGATGTACCGGATGAGATTCAGGATTTGCGACTGGAAAAAATTGATTCATGCACCAATGGATTTGAGCTCAGCCCCACAGATGGCTCTGTGATAACCTTCCAATGATTGCCGCTTCATTCTCTCTGAAACGGCGGGCCAATCCACGTCCCAACATTAACGAACTCGTAAGCTGGTCCTCATTCAATATCCCTTCTTGCCTTTCTGGGTGAACTTCGTTTTTTCACTTGTCGTCATCTAGAATCTAGATTCTCCTTCAAATAGAGTTGGGACCTACCATTTCCCTGGTAAAAGCACTTTACAGATTCTTATAATTTTCCTTTCCTGATTGCAATGATCTGATGGAGATTTCGATTTTAAGAAACGAGGTATAATTATTAATCATTAGTTCATAATCAATGGGGATTCAGAACTAGTATGGTATATCTAATTTGTATCTGGGAAGAGAGGAATTGGTATATTTTGCACGCGTAAGTTGATTTGTTCGGTATGGTGCTACAGTCTACAGAAACAGATTTTTTATTCCGTCTATCGTGTATTGATTTTTATTGTGACTACCTTTGTTTAATGGAGATATTCGTCTATCAATTGTGCGATTTGGAATACTGACGAGGTAATTGGTTGGATTTTTGGCGATATGGAGATCCGGCGGCTTCTCATTATCATAATTATGATACTTATTACTCTCTTTTCTTTCCAATATTCTGTGTTTCAGTACACAAAAAGTTTAAACGATAAGGCCTCAACTCATATGATGGTTCAGAATGTCTGTCATATGAACAATTTAGGACTTTGTAGATTTGATACAGTTGATACGGGTATTAACAACTTGGATACAAAGGAAACTGTTGATTATGATACTAACAAAAAGGTAAGAAAAGAAGTTGGTGATTTGACATCAGAATTCTTGAAGAAAGAGTCCTTTGATGAGGAGGAAAAGAGTAATCTGACAGAGGATACTGTTATAAGGGAAACGAATGCAGAATTAAGTTACAGCCCCCTGATGAAGGGAGATGTTTTAGAAGATAGTAACATGACAGCCGATGAAGGTAAAGCCACTAGCAGTCCAGGTGTGAGTGAAATTGGAAATCAAAGCATAGTTGTTTCAAAACAATCCCATGGAACTATGAACAATAGCATTAAAAAGGTTGATCATACATATTCTAACATTTCAGCGACTCCAGATGCATCTGCTGGCCAAGAAGAGGATGCCAGAAGCAGTATGGAAGAATTAGAAAACGATGATGGAATTGTGCCAGGGAAGAAAGATTCAGTTGTCTTGAATGACAGAAAGGGGGGGCCAGACATATCAACATTGAGTGGGCCATTTATATCCATATCTCAAATGTATTCAAAGCTATCAAGGGCTCACAAGTCTTCTTGTTTGAAGGTATGGATTACATTTCGAGGTTCCAGATTTGGGTAACTGTAACCATCTAGAGTTCTAAAATTTTCACTCGTAATGACACTTGGTAGCAGAGGCGGCAATGTCCACAGACATCCCGACGTGACCGTGAACTACACTATGCAAGACGGGAGATTGAAAATTCTTCTGTGTTAAGGAGCACTCCAGGAATTAATGGCTCTATTTTCAGGAACATTTCCATTTTTACAAGGTAATCCAATACCTTAAAACATTTGGTGTTTTTCATTTTTCTTGCATCTTCCAATGTTCTTTGGAGACAATGCTGTGGTTAAGCACTCTTGATTCTGCCCAATGCCACTTACATTGAGCTTAGTTTCCTGAACTTTAAATGGTGAATAATACTCCCAAGCATATTTTTTCTTTATGGGGAAATGAAAGCAAAAGGTTAACATTTTTGTAAGGTTATATAGTCTACAGTTGAAAGACAAAGGCTAAAAATTTTGTTCTGAACATTTCTTCTTAAATCTCAGTCCTGTATCAGTCTCAAAAGGTTTAAACCATTTCCAGTTACCAAGCTTTACATTATCTGGGTTGACTTGTTTTATGAGAGGGACAGAGCATCTTTTGCAGGATTATTTTTGCTCATTCTCTTTTACCTTAGCGAAACATCAATCAACCTTTACTAAGGCAAAGCTTGTGGTTTGTCATCTTTGCAGGAGTTACGAGTTGATGGAAAAAATGCTTAAAGTCTATATATACGAGGAAGGAGAAAAACCCATTTTCCATCAGCCTATATTGACTGGAATATATGCCTCAGAAGGATGGTTTATGAAATTATTGGAAGAAAACAAAAAGTTTACTGTGAAGGACCCTGAGAAAGCTCATTTATTTTATTTGCCCTTCAGTTCACAGTTCCTAAGGGTCGCATTGGGAAATAAATTCCGCAACAAGAGGGATCTACAAAAACTTCTCAGGAAGTACATTGACTTAATTGGGAAGAAGTATCCTTTTTGGAAAAGAAATGGAGGATCAGACCATTTTCTTGTTGCTTGTCATGATTGGGTAGACATTCTTCAATCTCGCTAATCATATCAATTTAGCTTCAGTTCATTATTTGACAGTAATGCTTATGTGAATCAGATACGCTAGATGAAAATGAGTTTTCTTGCTAATTGTTTTGTAACAACCTGAAACTTAATGTTCTTTGCATTTGGATTGAGAGGAATAATAGATCAATTGAGATTATTTGGAAACTGGTTAGGTTTAGCGCTCTTTAAGGGCTTTGGTCACTAAATCTTTTTATAATTACGAGTTTCATCTTGTTTTTTTGGATTGGAGTCCCTTTTGGTTGTTAGAGTTGTAGCCCTTTCATGTTCTTTCATTGCATTCAATGGAAGTGTGGTTTCCTGATGCATTGTAATTATTGACTGATATAGATCAATTTCAGGCTCCCAAGCTCACAAAGCGTTTGGTGAAGAACTGCATCCGAGCACTCTGCAATGCAAATGCTGCAGCAGACTTCGAAATTGGAAAAGACACCAGTTTGCCAGTAACTTTTGTACATTCAATCGACAACCCCATAGATGATATCGGTGGGAAACCTCCTTCCGAAAGGACCACGTTGGCATTCTTTGCTGGGAGCATGCACGGTTATCTCCGGCCTATTCTTCTACACTACTGGGAAAACAAAGAACCTGACATGATGATTGTTGGCCCAATGCCAAATAGTATTGAAGGGAAAAGTGCCTACATGAAGCAAATGAAGAGCAGCAAGTATTGCATATGTGCTCGAGGCTATCAAGTTCATACGCCTCGGGTGATCGAAGCAATTCTCAACGAGTGCATCCCCGTGATTATATCGGATAATTATGTCCCTCCCTTCTTCGAGGTATTGAATTGGGAATCATTCTCGGTGTTTGTTAAAGAGAGAGATATACCGAATTTGAGAGACATTCTCCTCTCAATCCCAGAGGAGAACTACCTTGCAATGCATTCAAGAGTGAAAATGGTGCAACAACACTTCCTATGGCATGAAAAGCCTGCAAAGTATGATGCATTTCACATGATCCTTCATTCAATTTGGTACACGAGAGTGTTTGAGATCAAAACCAACTGACATAGACAAAGTTTGATTCTGGATTTAACAAGACACTCAATTATTACAAGGGCAGGCCTCATCCATGTTCCTAATGTAGTTTGTACAAGTCTTGAATGAGGGAAGGAAATTAGTTTTGGTTACTTGAGATTTTTCTACCATGTTTATATACATATGGATTAGAGTTAGGTTGGGGTGTGGATTGTTTAATCTGTCATTCTTATGATCGTCATATGTGGTATATAAATTTTGAGATAATTTTTAAGAACTATTTACCGTTCTAAATGTGAATTGTTTAATCTCTTATTCTTATGATAGTTATATATTTTGAGATAATTTTTAGATATTCTTTACCATTTTAAAGGTAGATGGTTTAATCTCTCATTCTTATTATGATCGTCATATATGTACCATAATTTTTAGGTAATGTTTACCGTTCTAAAGACGAAATTGTTTATTGTATATAAATTTTGAGATAATTTTGAAATATAAGATTTAAATTTAAATAATGCATAAATGACTAGTAATTAGTGTTTATAAATGTTTTAATTGCAATTATTTTTATAATATTAATCTTACTAAATCTTTCGGGAGAAGGAAAAAGAAATGGTTCATAAATAATGTACTTGTCACGTCAATTAAAGAAGCTTTAGCTAATGATTTCTGAAATAACCTGGCATGCAGATATTTAAATGAAAGATTTCATTTTAATAAAATAAAAAGATTTAGATAATGATATAAGGATATAAATAATTTAGCCTCCCATCAAATTTGGCGGACTCGACGACACAGTTCTCAGATGTCTGAATCACTTCCAAAACAAGCGATGAAGATGATCACCGTTGTACGGACGGTACCGACGAAGCTTGAAAGTTGAAATGCTGCTTACATAGCTTATAGGATTGAAGAGGCTAGTGCTTCAGAGGTAAAGAAAGCTCGAGCTTAGCTGAACATCCAACTTTCTTTTTGATTTCGCAAACAGTTGTTCTCTTCTATTTTGGTCGGAGTAACATTGAATTTCGAATTCTCTGTCCGTTTGATGTTCTAGCTGCAATTTTGAATGTTTGTGATTTTCATCTCATTCCCCTGCGATCGATAAGGTTTCTGAGAAATGTCTTCTCAAAATTGGTGCTAATTGCTGGTAGCGACTGAATTAGCTCATAATTTTTCGTCATGATTTAGCTGTCTATTGTCAACCGTAGTTCATAAGCTAATTCAGACTTGTTTGATAACTGTGGGTTTTCCTTTCTCACGCATTAGTATCCAGTTGCTGCAAGGTGCATGATGGTCGTATGCGACTGCTCCAAGTTCATGTGGTTTTTTAAAATTGGGAGTCCAATGTGATCCCGAGCTTCTTCAAGTTATTGGAATATTTTATAGATATTGGTTGCTTCCCACGGTTTCTTATATGGCTATTCATAAATGTACAAACTTGTTTCATGGTATCAAAATCCGGAGGCTGCTGATTATGATAGCCATCATAATTTCAGTTCTCATTGTTTCACAGTGCTACGTTTATCCTTATGCGAAAAAATCTTTCCTACCACTTGATGTTAAGAGCTCAGACATTATGAGTCTTCAAAATATCACTAGTTTAAATCATTCAGAAGTTCATTTCCTGTATACTGTCACTCATGTGAAAAATAGGAAGGAAAGAACTGAGTACATTACTGAAAAGAAGGGAGAAAGAGGATTTGGTTTGACGTTGGATGCTGCTAAGAGCATGCCATATGAGAATGGTACACCATTTGAAGAGACTTTGGCAATGCCAGATGGAAATTTTACTGTTGATAATGACATTGGGAGTGGGACGGTAGAGTTTGGTTCTAATCCCCCCATGAAGGAAAAAATTTTAGACAACAGTTACAAGAGAGTTGTTGAAGGTGAAGACAGCAGCAATCTAAATATGAGTAAAATGAGAAACCATATTTCTTTTGTCTCAAATCAACCTCAAGAGTTAATTGTAGATCCTAGAAAATCTGACTTGTCTTCTGCTCAAAATACATCTTCCATTCCAGAAGACCGTTTCGGTAGAACTGAGGAAATAGTTACAAATGATACAAGGTCTGAGCAAGGGAAGAATGTCTCCGTTACCTTGGATGGACTTGCACGGTATGACATATCGACTTTGGAGAGTCCTGAGATGCCACCAATATCAATATCTCAAATGAACGCGTTGTTGTCTCTAAGTCATACTTCTCCTTGTTCGAAGGTATGGATTTCAACTTAAGGTTCCAATTAGATCATTGACAAAAACTCAACTCTAACACTTGCACTGCTGATTTTACTTGGTAGTAGAAGCCACAGTGTCGTTTGTCTTCTTCACGTGATCGTGAACTTCTACATGCGAGACTGGAGATCGAGAAAGCCACTGCTGTTGTGAACAGCCCAGGAATTATTTCTGTTTTCAGAAATGTTTCTATGTTCAAGAGGTAATATTTTCTAAACATTGTTTGGTTCATACTGCCTAGACATGTAGCAGTGGCCTGGCATATAGTCTATCCCATCAGCTATCATCTTCGTTGATCCTGTGTCTTCAATGTCAATTAGCTTATTGTGAAAATTTGGATACTGTGACCAGTACCAACATTAACCAGGATGAAGCGTATATTGCGTGTTCCCTTTGCAGGAGTTATGACTTGATGGAAAAAACGCTTAAAGTTTATATCTACAAGGAAGGAGAAAAGCCTATTTTCCATCAACCTCGGATGAGAGGGATATATGCCTCAGAAGGATGGTTTATGAAATTGATGAAAGAGAATAAAAATTTTGTTGCAAAGAATCCCAAGAAGGCTCACTTGTTCTATTTACCTTTCAGTTCGCAGTTACTAAGGAGTGCACTTTCTGAACAAAATTCCCAAGGTCGAAAGATCCTAGAGGAACGTCTAGGGAACTATGTCAACTTAATTAGGAGAAACCACCAATTCTGGAACAGAACTGGAGGTGCTGATCATTTTCTTGTTGCTTGTCACGACTGGGTATGTATTCTATACAGAATTTAGATCTATCGACAATGTCTTGTTCGAGTATTTCGTTGCTTGTCTTGGAAACTCTTCTCATGTTATCCTTTGAAGTAGCTGAGGCTTGTTTGCTTTGTATTCTGTGGACAGTGTTCCGTGTGTCCGAAACCCTGACTTGAGCATAAATAGTTTAGTTACAATTTGTTGTCATTTTAAATATATTGTTGGAGTCTGTTTCCTAGTAGTCTAGTTATCATTTATTTTCAATACATTCAATTTCAGGCTTCCAAACTCACAAGGAAGTATATGAAGAACTGCATCAGAGCTCTCTGCAATGCAAACGCTGCTAGAGGCTTTCAAATTGGGAAGGACACTAGCGTACCAGTTACAAATATACATTTGACAAAGGACCCTGATATAACTACTGGAGCAAAACCTCCTTCAGACAGGACTACATTAGCCTTCTTTGCTGGGGGTATGCACGGTTATCTCCGACCAATACTGCTTCATTACTGGGAAAATAAAGAACCTGACATGAAAATTTTTGGCCCAATGCCACGCAATGCTGAAGGGAAAAGAATCTATAGGGAGCACATGAAAAATAGTAAATACTGCATATGTGCGAGAGGATATGAAGTTCATACTCCTCGAGTGGTTGAGGCCATTCTAAACGCATGTGTTCCAGTTTTCCTATCAGATAATTACGTGCCTCCTTTCTTTGAGGTATTAAACTGGGAATCATTCTCAGTATTTGTTCAAGAGAAAGAGATCTCTAATTTGAGAAATATTCTGCTCTCAATTCCTGAGAAGGACTACCTTGTCATGCATGCAAGACTGAAAATAGTTCAAAAGCATTTCATTTGGAACAAAATTCCGGTGAAGTATGATTTATTTCATATGATCCTTCACTCAGTATGGTATACTCGAGTTTTTCAGATGAAAACCAATTGATTTAGGTAGCATCAGATTCTGGTGTCGGAAAGCCGCAAATGTATAATGAATAAGAAGACTGTGAAGGGGAAGCAAAAGGTTGTAGTGTAAATATGCCAAGCTTCCATAACATCGTACACCCTCCTGATAGAGATGAAGCTTAGCTTGAATCTCTCTAATCATATGGTGGAATTCTTGAGGGATATATTTGCAAATGGTTCCATCTTGTAAATGAGTTCGATGACTAATCAGTTTCATATTCCATACCAAGTTTTGAGTTCCACTTAGAGCAGTTTGTGAAACCAAATGATACCGTCACTTAAGGGAACGAGTTAGAAGATTTTGGTGCAATGGATTGGATTTTGGTGAGTTAGAAGAATTTAAAAACTTATCATTGCGAAAGCCTGAGGATATAGATATGACTTTCAATTCTTCAACCGCCATGCTACGGATCCCAGCTTCACCTGTTAACACAGTTCATTCAGAGAACTTGATATCAAATATAAGCTCATCAGTCTCAGAAACCGATTCTAAAAGCACAACTCAACGGAAGAAGATGAAGAGTGAAATGCCATCAAAGTCCATAACTTCACTAGAAGAGATGAACAGTATGTTTGTGTTAGTTTTGAATTGTTCGTCTGATGATCTTATATTATGCTGGGTTTTAAGATTGTTCTTGCTTTGCGTGGAGACCAATGAGTTCCTCTTTACGTGATCAGGAAATTTATTCTGCCAAGTCCTATATGTGCGTAATTTTCATAACAGGACAAATTACGTCAATTTTTTTGAAGGAATACTCGGAAAATATTGCAGCCAAATATCCATACTGGAATAGAACTGGTGGAGCAGATCATTTTCTTGTTGCATGCCATGATTGAGCGCTGCTTAAAAGCACTTTGCAATACTGATGTAACAGTTGCCTTTAAAACTGGATGAGATATGTCTCTTCCAGAAACTTATCTAGCGAGAAATCTTCTTAGAGATCTTGGAGTAAAACCTGCTTCACAAAGACATGTTCATGCCCTTTTATGCTGGGAATATGCATGGTTATGTCTTAACCCTGATATGAAGATCTTTGGTCCAATGACTCATGGTATTGCAAGCAAAATGAGTTACATTCAGTGTATGAAGAGCAGCAAATACTGCATCTGCCCAAAGGGTTACGAGCTCAATAGTCCACGGGTTGTGGAAGCCATGTTTTATGAGTGTGTACCTGTGATCATATCAGACAATTTCGTACCACCATTTTTAGAGGTGTTGAATTGGGAAGCATTTTCAGTGATTGTTGACAGAAGAGGATATTCTCTACTTACAACGACATACTGCCTTCTTTCAATACTAAATGAGAGATATCTCGAGATGCAACTCCGAGTCAGGAAAGTACATAAGCACTCCCTTTGGCATGCCAAGCCCTTGAAGTATGACATTACCCTTCATTCATTCTGGTATAACATAGTGTTTCAAATAAAGATGTTGTAAGTGCTCCATTGAAGTTATGAAGGAAATCCATGAAACTCTAAAATAACTGCACAGAACAAAATGACTCCTTTGCAGCTTCTCTTTGGAAAAAATCTGCTTAAACCTCGGTGGGATCATGTCAAGGACCTTGAAAATGGATTGCAACTGTGGCAGTGCTCTTGTAGATAGCAGACTGGTAAAACAAAACTATGATTATTTGTCAATATTGCAGTAGAAATTCTGATTTCCTTTCAGCAACCTCTGCATCTGGCTGTGAGTCTTCGGGTTTCAAATCATGGAAGCCATTTTCCAGGACCACAATGGAAGTTATTACTCGTTCTTTGGGTCATCATCAACCACATCCATCCAAAGCAATAAATGTTTTCACTCACTGGGTCCATCCAGACCAATTGAAGAGAGACCCACATTCAAGAACCGTATCTCTGAGATCGGAATCAGATACTCAGGCATATATGATCTTTAATATGGCACCACAACACGAAGCTTCCTATGAAGAACAGGGGCAATGTGGAATGGGCGATGATGTTAATGAACTTGGTGGGTTGCTGTCAACAAACAAAGGGACCCTGATTATCAGATATTTGAGATCTTCTACAGGCTCTACTACTCTCATGAAACTTCAGATGATCACACAGGTACCAAGAATAAAATAGAATCAAAATATTAGCTATTGTGGGTCCCTGTGAATTTAGTGATCTTTGCTTCAAAATGGGAAAAAAAAAAAAAAAAAATGGTGGGGATTGCAAAATTAGGTGTTCTGAATGAGAGCATATGGTTATAATGATGGCCTGATGAGGTTCTTCCTTCTGGGTCCTTCTTTTCTCATAACTCCAATAACCATAATAAATTTTGACAGATTTGAAGTGTCCCTATTTCATTAAAGGATGGAAATTTGCCAGCCTACCAGGATTAAGTTTCCCAGTCCCATATCCACCATTATTGGATAAGGTGAATTTCAAGTCCAATCAGAACTCATTTTTACTATGTTTTCAATGATTCTGATCCAAATTCGTAGTCTCGAAGGACCATTTTGTGGTAAATAAATGCACAATTGGCTGTTGAGCTACCATATCTGTTTGCTTTTTTACTTCACAGACATGCATGATCCATAAATAAATAAAAAAAAACTCATAAAGTTAAAACCTTTGGCAGCTATTTGTACTCATTCCACAATAACCCTGTTGCTTTCTGGTTGTAATAACTGAATCGTGTATTGACTGTCCCTTCTGACTTCTGTATCCTTTTCTTCTATTTCAGAAGACAATAATTTTTTACTATATTTAGATTAACATTATACTTCTTTCTAACTTTATACACACATTTTTAGGTAGAAAACAAGTATATTTCCAAAGTATTCTTATTCTTGTTTAACATTCTAACAGATTGCTACGATCAAGTTAATTTTAGAACGCATGGATTTCCATGTGATGGAGATAAAATAATCAAGAAATTGGATTAAAAAATACAATATTTATTTAACTAGAAAATGAAAAGAGGGGGGAAAATAAAAGATAGATGGGTCCACATATTAAATGGATCATAGGGTTGAATCCATGAGGTAATGGGCTAGTATTGAAGCTTCAATCACTATCCACATTAATATCCTTACACAATTATGAAATAAATGTTTGTATGTTTCTCTCATTTTTCATACTTTCGCCTTTCAAATTATGCTCTAATTAATGACTATGTATTTTTATGCGTCATTAAATCAATCAAACTATTCATTCGAGTTATCGAATTGTTAGTTTTCTTATCATATTTTCCCCCTAACATTTTTAATACCTAAATAATCGTGCATCATCTATTTATATAAAGCAATTACTCAACCGTTGTTAGTCCTAGACGTTTAAATTTCTTTTAAAATATATTAGAAACATTTTGATCGATATATTTACACAAATTTAGGAATTTGTCTACATCACTATCCCCTATTTTGACATTGGTGCTAGTGGAAAACAAGGTATGTACCTTCCTATGTTCTATAGGTTAATGCTATAAATAAATAAATAAATAAAACACGTACAATTTTAGTACATCGACTCAATTTTCGAATTCATGATTTTGACCTAATAATCATAATAATAAATAAATTAAAAAAAAAAAAAAAAACATGATGAAAGCCAAATGAAATGAATGATTATTCAATGGGACAGATGAATGACATTAGATGCATTAAAATGAAACATTATAGTTATGTCATTAATTTATCATCAATAATTTCAACAACAATTTAAACTCCACACCTAATCTTTTATGATTTAAATAAATGGACACAATAAAGGCGATCATTCAAGTTTTTAAGAAATATATTATTCTATGCTTTCAACAAATATCTTACTCCCACGTTTAAAAGTATAAGAATTGAATGAAATAAATTTGAAAATGATGAATAAAAGTTAGGGGAGTGAAAAATGGATGAAAAATTAAAGCACATGTTTGGCAATGATGTGGGAATTAAATATGTGTCGATATGAGCCTGACTATAGTACTAGATTTTGTCAACTTAATTAATGTACGCTATGATCTGAATAAAGTTATTTTTTTAAAAAAATAAAAGAAATAGAGAAATTGACTGGGTTTTATTAAATGTGTAAGAATATGGTATGGTTATTAAAAAGATTATATTAAAAAATGATGCGAATTCCGTTACTGTAAAGAATATTAATTTTACAATATGGTCTGGGAGACCAAAACGACTGCAACCATTTAACCAACACCATGCCCTTCAATAGTGTCTGATTTATTATTATTGGACCCTCTTTATTTATTTATTTTTGTTTACTTTGGATTTTAAAATTATGTAATTAAGACTATACAATAGGGTGATTGTCGTATTAATAATAATAATAAAATAAAAAAAAAGCATGTGTTATGGGTGTTTAAATAAATAAAGTAGTAGGGTACAAATTAAATTTAGAAGTGTTAGAGGAATTTGTGGGCTAAAATAGAGGCTATAAGCTTGGAAACAAGAATTCGCACTCTAAGGCAACATCACCCACACACAAAACAACCCCAATTCATTGAATTTGTACACAAATAACAACCAAGCTGTCCTCATACAATAAATTACAACTCCAATAACCAAACCCTTTTTCTTTGGCTTCTTTCCTGTTCAATATATGTATTTTAAGTCATGTCGAGAGTAATTTGCGAGTTGATATGAACTCCATCCAGTTACATATCATCACTGTTCAAACATAAAAATGTCAAAATGCATACGGAGTCTTAATTTTATTCATTTCACCTTCTTGTTTATTCCGAGTAAAAACCCCAAATTGTCCCACACGACCAGAATCCAGGCTGGGGTGTGAGGGTTCATCTCCCCCAACTCTTTGTACCTTCACCGTCCTTCCCCCCCTAATAATAACTAATATCATTTTATTTATTTTTCTATAAATAATAATGATATTGAGATCTTTATTTGTAAGAGACACGGGAAAGACCGATACGAATGATGGGAGAGAGGGTGGTGGGTGAGACTGAGAGAGAGAGAGAGAGAGAGAGAGGGAGAAATAATAAGGAAAGAGAAATACTCGTCTACACCCGCTTCTATTACAATCCCCGTGCATGATGAATGCACAGGGATATATTTATTTATATATATATATATAAACCCTTTTATACCCATTCGTGTAGGGGTGACTTCAAATTTCTAATAATACCCTTTTGTTTAGCTCACTCCATTAAAACCTCCCATTTCCAATGGCTCGCCTTGTCGTTCACAATGACCCTGCAATTTTCAACTCTGCCTCTTCCTCTTCCTCCTCATTCTCCTCCTCCTCCTCCTCCTCGTCGGTTGAGATCGATCAGGCAGGGGCGGCGATTGCGATTCACTCGAACCGGAAACGGGCGAAGCGGCCCAGGGAAACTAGCAATGGAAACAGCAAGCACCCGGTTTTCCGTGGGGTCCGAATGAGGGCATGGGGAAAATGGGTTTCCGAAATTCGCGAGCCCCGAAAGAAGAGCAGGATCTGGCTCGGCACTTTCTCCACCCCTGAAATGGCCGCACGTGCCCACGACGTCGCCGCTTTAACTATCAAAGGCAACTCCGCCATTCTCAACTTTCCCCAACTTGCCCATCAGTTCCCTCGACCCGCTTCCAACTCCCCCCGCGACGTCCAGGCCGCCGCCGCCAAAGCTGCCTCCATGGAACTCCCCACCCCTCCCCCGCCGACGCCCTCCTCATCCTCCTCCTCCTCCTCCTCTTCCTCTTCCTCTTCCGGTTTGTGTCCGTCGACGCCGGAGGAATTGAGCGAAATCGTGGAGCTTCCTAGCTTGGGGACGAGTTACGAAACAACCGAATTGGGGAAAGAGTTCGTATTCGCTGACTCATTGGAAGGTTGGCTTTATTCATACCCATGGTACAACAGAGTGAGCAATGTAGAAGAAGAAGAAGAAGAAGATTACAGGTTGTTCGGAGACCAGATTTTAATGGCGGATTATACACACACTTGGATTCCAACTACCACACCCTTCGAAACTTTCTCGTGGCCACATTAAACAAAATCAGCCTCACCTCCATTCTTCTTCCCCCAAATCTAAATTTTGCTTGTAAAACTAAACATTTTCTTCCAAACCTCTGTTCTTTTTTTTTTTTTTTTAATTAAAAACAAAAAAACAAAACAAAAAAACCATTTAGTGTTTTGTTAATAATAATAATAATGTAAGGATTTGGGGTTTGAGGCGGAATTGAATTAATCATCAATTTCGCCTCCCTCTGTTCATATAAATTTGTGTGTAATCTCTGTTTACGCTCTAATTCATCAATTTCTCTCTCTGTTTGTGTTTAATCAAATGGGAGAAATGGAATTAATTAGGGTTAGATTAGTAAATGTAAGTAAGTTGGTTATGAATGAAAAAGGCATTTAAATCATGGAATAGAATTATTAGCGGAACAGGACATGATTAACTAATAATTAATGAATTGGTTGGTTATAGCCAGCTTCAATTATTGATCACAAATTTATTAATATCACAATCTAAATGAAATCTCCAATGCGAATAACATGAATTTAATCTCTCCCTTTATTTTCTACTGATTTTGTGTGGTACCATACTATAAAGTAAAGTTGATATGTGACCACAGATTAGACAAAAAAAAAACAAATAATTTGTTTACTAAATAATTAGATGCATCCCTATTATATTGTTTTTTCCTCCTCTATTCATTTATTAAATGGGTAGGTATTAATAATTTATATATATTACATTAAATGCCAATTTAAGAGTGATTTCGAGTATTTTTTATGTTCCACTCATAATGATATGTATGAACCTTTACTAACCGAGGTATAGAATGGTTAAAAATATTTGTTTGAATAATTGAAAGTCAAACTCGGCCACATTTTGCGAAGTAAGCTGAGATATGTCGGTTAATTAGAGGAAAAGTTAATTAAGGTGGTTAAGTTAAGGGGAAAGAAAGTTGACCTTGGATTTGGGAAGCAATTAATTGGGATTTAGAAGGTAAGTAAAACTGAGTTGTATTCAGTTTAATGATGAATTAAATACAGAGATTTAGCATAACGATGAATTAAAAATGAGTAACCTAAGAACAAAACCATGTCTTGGAGATTTGTGACTCAATAATGGAGTGAACTGTAATCCCACGTGCTTGGCATGCGCCAGCTCTCATCTCTGTTTCTTTGTCAAATAAAATCTACTTTATTTCTTTACTTACAGATTTATATATTTATTTTTTTTTTATTATATCTCTCACTGCTTTCAAGTTGTAAATGAAAATTGACAAGATTTTGGTCATTATTATCTTAATTTCCATAATTTAATTGGTCACCAAAAAAACATTCATACATAATAATAATAAATATAGCTCCTACTTACCCAACAACAATAATAATAATTAACTACTTTTTCAAACCCATTTAATTTAATTTAATTTAATTTAGTTGGGATAATGAGTTTGTAGTATTATTGATTGATTAATGAGATTGGGGATGAAATGAATGGAGTATGATGTGACATTAACTACACGACCAACCCAACCAACATTAATTAATTAAACCTATGTGTTTTATTACTTTTTAATTCACCTAATTAAAACTTTAGCAGTATATAATATAAACTCTGCCTCACTATATATTAAAACTTTATTAATACATACAAATAACCCACTGAGAGGAAAGAGACAAATTCCACCTTTCCACTTGGCCATATGCCCAACTCATTTCATTACAACTCTGTCTCCATGTCTGATTCTGATTTCTAAGATTTGCACTCGGTGTCCAACAAATTATACTTCTGTCATATGATCAAATTGTTGTTAGTCGAAATATGATTCTCTGGATTTCATTTACGCGTGTTATTTCAAAATATATTCAATATATATATATATTTTGTTAATTTAAATGGAAGTGACATAAAAATAAGAATAAAAGAGAGGAGGGATTTGGGTAGAGCTATGTGAACACATTGAATGTTAATTAATAAGAAAGAGTTTACATTTAATATTGAATGGGGGATGGTCATAGAAGCGTGCACGTGGACGAGACCGGAGTCGGGTCCATCGAGGAAACCTTCGCGGCGGTGGCGCCGGAGCAGTGCTGGGGTGGAAACGCTGCTGTTCCACTAAGTAGCGGCGGAGGTGGCGGAGGTGGTTTAGGGTTTACAGAGGAACAGACAGTGACAGGGTAACAGAAGGAGGAGGGTAAACAGTAAATGTCGGCAGTGGCAGGTGAGTGCACGTGGCTTTCAGGGAAGGGGAGAGGGATGACTGGTAACTGGGCATTGCCGGTTTTGGAGAGAGAGGGGAAGAAGATGCCACCCCACCTGGATTCTCACTGCTGCTTTTGTTTTATATTTTCAAGATTTGCGGCTCTCTGACATTAAATTATTACCCTTCAAATTTATTAATATATTTATTACAATCTTTAGACTCTCTTTCTCTCTCCTTAATTATTTTTTAGCTGAATAAAATATAATTGTATTTCAACAAAGATATTATATTTATTTTTTTTTATACAGATATGTAATCGTACTAAAATCTATTTATTTAATAAAAGGACACAGCGAAGGAAATTTCGTTAAAGCCCTATTTATTAGATTTTTCCACGGAAAAAATTAATCATTTTATAATAAAATCTTTAAATATATAATTTAACTTTTATGAAGCAACCTAGGAGGTCAAGATTTTAATGATATGAAAATAACTTTAATTTTCTTTTCTTTCCTGCAAAATTATGTACGGCAAACATTTAATTTAACCATAGAATAAAATTAAATTTAAAAAGGGAATTAAAATTGGAAACGCATTGATTGATTGCGACGAATGAGATGCCGAAACCAAGTCAAAATCCGAAATGGCAGCGAGTAGCTTGGAAGTAGCTTTCCATGAACGTTCCGGTCGTGCGGTGAGGTCCCATCGCCTCACCCGTCACAATCATGCCCGCAAAACTACAAGATCCGGTGAGGTCAGTTTCCGGCGACTTTTAACGGATCTTACATCTTTTGATCATATTTAAATGTTTTTTTTTTTTTTTTTGAATTAAACAAAAAAGAACTTTTTTTGTTTTCCCAATAGAATTTAAACGAATGGTTTGAGGTGTAGAGAGGGTGGTGTTGAGTGGTGGGGCGGTGGCGGTGGTCGGGGAGGTAGGCGGCAGCGTGGGGTGGGGAAGTTGAAGTTGAAGTTGAAGTTGAAGAAGGGAGGAAGAAGGGGAAGGGGGTCCGCAGAGATATTGTAGGGTTTTAAAAAAAATCCTCCCACGTGCGGACTTTTCTCCACTGATTTAATTTCTCCTGCTCCTTCCACCGGCACCTTCCCGACCGACCGACCGACCGACGGCAACCGCCCCACTCCCCACTTTCTTTCTTTTAATTTTCAACCATTTCCCTTTCCAAAAACAAAATTTTGTTGTTTTTCTCATTCATGGGCCCAAATATTTCTATTTTTCTTTTTTCTATATATTCTTTTGTCCCGTCATGTCTTTTTTTTTTTTTTTTTTTTTTACTTTAATTAAATTTTATTAGATAAAGTAATTTGTGATTATAGGTTGTTGCTAGAGAATTGCAAAACTTGTAACTAAAGAATGATTTCTACACTCGTATAAGTAATGTTTCGTTTCCCTCTCTAACCAATGAGTATGGGACCTCACACCTTTACACATATAAAAAGGAAACGCTCTATTTGGAGACCATCCACATTTGTAAGGCCCAATACGCCCAATACTTTTGAATATCGGTTGGAATTTAAATGATTATATCAAATTTTGAAAACATATTGAGCCAGAAAAGTCAACAGAAAAAAGGTTAGAAAATGATTGAACATTCAAAAAGTAGAACATGTTTAACGAGTGGCTCGACGTTCTTGTCCTTTAAAAAAGTTTGGTAAGTCGGGAGTTTGATTCACTGCTTCTATGGAGTTCAAGATGAACACTAACATCTCACAAATAATTACAAAACATGATTCAAACTCACGGTAACAATTCAAGTCCACAACTAACAAATATTGTTCATCTTGTCTCGTAACTTGGCCTCACGATTTTAAAATGCATCTACTAGAAAGAGGTTTCCATACCCTTATAAAGAATGTTTCGTTCCCTTCTTTAACTGATGTAGGATCTATCATTTATTCTTTAAATTTTGATAAAATTCAATCGTGTATTTCAATCTTTCCCCCTATGGCCTTAACAATGAATCGTTTAGCATGGCAATCTCCATTACAGAACACATTTTTGTTGCTTCTCCATATTGATTACACCTAATTGCAGAGACAAAGAGAAAGCAGCCAAAAAAAAGGTCAAGCAGAGCAGAGACTGACAAAAAGAAAGGCTACATGTCATTGGCTCTATATCAAATCATTAACTTAAATGTGCCCAAATGTTCGCCAGATTTTCTTCATGACATTCCCTACAACTTTCAATTAGCAGCCAGGCTTCCAAACATGTGGTTTCTGCAGCACAAAAGTACAATGATAACTACATCAAACCATGGAACTTTATTTCAACGAAGCTTAAGCAATCACAACTTAAACTTGTGCTACTAAGAATGGACTAATCATGTGATATCTAGAAGAGGCTGTACAAGATGAAATATAGACATCGTTTAGCATTTTGATTAGAGTCCATTCAGCTTAACTTTCATGACTAGTACTGAATTCAATGCAGACAAATAAACTGACAAAGTAAAGAAAAGAAGCTACTTCAGCTAATTTTATCATCAGCAGAGGCAAAAAAGAATATGAATATTGTTTCCTTCTTACTCAATAATAGAAAACTGCAGCCCTTTTTTCCCACCTTTATGTCATTGTTGATGCAATCTTCAAACAAAAGATGACTGGGTGCTATCATTACAGCAGCCTCTTTGATTGTACACTTTTTGCTTGGTAAACTTGTCGGTTTACCTGGTTTTCTGTTTCTCTTCACTGATGAGTGACATAGAAAACTCGAGTGTCACGAGGTCTCACACGCCTACGTAGAGTTTACAGGTATTTGATGACTTTTGTAAGAATGGATGAATCTAAGTTGACATAGGTCAAGGTTGATCAAACCCATTTAGATTTGTTTTCTTTTTCAATAAAATTATATTAAAAGCCATAATAATAAGGAGATTATATCGAATGTGCAAGAAATTTGTGAGATCCCATCAGAGGAGAACGAAACACCCTTCATAAAAACACCATTTTCTTTGTAGACAGAAGAGCGAAACACCCTTTATAAAAAAGGTGAAAACTTTTTCCTAATAGACGCGTTTCAAAACCTTGAGGAGAAGCTCGAAAGGAAAAACCCAAATAGTACAATATCTGCTAACCGTGGGCTTGTGCCATTACAAAATTTCAGTGAGATCCGAAGAGAATATCAAAATCATTAAGTTCAACCTAAGATTTTGCTGGGTTGATGAGTTGAAATCTTCCCCTCCATGATATAATAGCTGAACTAGAACATTACAATCCACTCGAGCATCCTATGCTTTGGAGGAACTGAAACTTCAACCATGGATGAGGCTAAGAGAGGCAGTAGCCTTGATGAATGAGCTCCATCTTAAAAGAGAAAAACTCAACAATTCTAATTCCCTGGAAGATTTAACGTTGGATTGCAAGGCCTTGTAACAATCGTTCCCAATTAACCTGGGGCAGAATGTGCTGCCACTGAAGCAAAGTTGGGTTCTTGTTCCATCTATCATCCTCTGTCCAAACAATGGCAGCTATGCGCTGAACCTAATAAGTCGACAAGGAAAAAAATAGCGAAAACAATTTTTATCCCCAAATATCGGGAATCTATTGTTCGAATTCATCATGAGCAGGCAGCAGCGTTTTCTAGTTCTGTTTTCAACAGCATACAAATGGGGAAATGGAAAAGAATATGGGAACTTCCAACCTAAATAAAAGGAGAGAACCATAGTAAGTCATGGCAATTGTTCTAGTTAGTCATATCTAGGCAGAGGGATGGTTCTTCGTGAGCAAGCATCCAAGAGACGAGGAGAAATTTGATGAATAAATACCACAGAAAGAGAGTAAGAAGATCTGTGGCCGTCAATATTTCAAGATCCTGTTAAAACTTGGCATATATAAAAAGGGAAAAATATTGATGACTACAAAATTTCTCCATCCGTAGATAAATTACCACAATGCCTCAACAAGTATCTGCCAAGGTTGTCAAATAGACATGTAGCTTACATGCTTTTTGAAAATTGTCCCATCATCATCAGATGATTTTTCATTGCCACGGATTTCTCTTTTTTGTTTCTTTTCTTTTGGAACTGGTAGTTGAACTGGACTTCTGCAAATTGGTAACCAGCATATAGCAATAATTAAAGGATGATGGCAACAGTAATCTAGAATAAATTGGTGCCCGCTCAACCAAGTGAATAGAACTTGAAGTGTACATACCGTCTTTGACTTTTTAGTCTTTCCCCTGATTCTGTTCTTTGGAGCTTTCAATTTGTAGATTCGTACCATCCAATGGTGAGTGGTGAATGCCTAAAAAGATCCATATTCAAATCAGAAACCACATAATAGTTCTTTGGATGGCAACTTGTAAATATACACAGCTGGTCACAAAAACTCAAAACTACTCACTAAGCTAATCCTCATTGACACTAGATAACCATTAATACTAACAATATAGCAAAAACATATTATCAAAAACGATTAAATTAGATCGCACAACTTGGATTGAGTGGAACTACTACAAAGAAACAAAGATAAATGGATGGAGAGAAAATCAAGAAAATCTTCAAAATGAAGCACAGGGATAGTGCCATTTTTTTTTTTTTTTCACAATTTAATTTTCGTTAATTATCCCTCGGTGAAAATTTGCTTCCCTGTCTTGAAATTAATCCCTTTCTCTTTTAGGTTCCAACTGGAAGCATTTTATGAAATCTTCCATCGGAGGGTTGAGAGGTTTTCCTCTCCCCTTTTTACAATGTCAGGCAACAATGAAACATCTTTTCTTTAAAGTGTAAAAGCTAAAGAATAAGAAATTAAAAAAGGGTTTAAATAGTTATAAATGCTCCACTATCTCAACAAGCTGGAATTTTTTTTATAGTTTCTTTTCCTGTGTAAATATACATTAGAGTGCTTGTTGAAAGAGTCCAATATCCGTAAAAGAAACGACGAGGTTTTTTTTACCTCTTCTAATTTTTCATGAAAATCCCATATTCTTAACACACATCACAAATCCTCTATATCTTACAATCCCCGGGAAAGAATTTCTTGAATCAAATTTGAAAGTTATTTTCTGTGGAAAATAAAAAGATGGTCTCTCCTCTTTGGAAGACTTTATTATTTACCTCTTCAAAATGCGAAAGCTTAAAATATTTCTTCCCAATTTCTGTCTGCCTCACCCTATCAAATCCTTTACCATCTGTTTCCACAAACCTACAAACGGACGGAAAAGAATAAGAATTATAATGGTGAAAAAAGAAAAAACTATAAAACCAAGAAAGGAACCGTGCCAAATTAACAAATTATGTCTGCTAAACAATTACAAACCTGTAGTACGAAAGTTTGTACATGAGAGAATTCAGCATTGTTGGAGTGGCCTGAGAATCAATTCGATACTGACCATCTCTCTTTACCAAGAAAGAAAAGGAAGAAAACAAAATATAAGTTAGAGAACCTAGTTTACAAACTAGTCAAACAAGCCAAACCAGCATCAAGTTTCAGTATGTTAGCAAAAAATAAAGAAATAATGCATTTATAATCATGCCTTCAAAAAGAAAAAGAGTAGGAATGAACACTTACTAGGTAATCCGGTTCCTTGATATGAGGAAATACACCACCTCCTATACGAACCATCCACAAGAACTTATTGATATCATCACTTGGATAACCAACAAGACCTGCAAAAACAGCAAAATAAATCAGACTACACATTTTCATTAGTTAAGATGATTCATTTAAAATAGACTTCTCATTTATAGATCGTAAGCTTAGAACCAAAAGACCATAATGCTCTTGTGAGGAATTGTCAAAAAAAAAAAAAAAAACTAATTGGTATCTGATTTTGTCAGTAGTACACTTGCATAAAAAAACAAGATAATACACTCCAAAAAGATGTCTGATACTTTGCTTAATTGGCCTATTCCTCCCATTTAATAAGCGTCCCCTTAAATATTATTTGAGTTCTTCATGCCAACATCTCTAAATGATTCTTTTCGTGGCATTCATTCAAAGAGTTTTATCCCTACTTTTGAAACTAAGATAATAAAGAAACTGAAGAGTAATGTCAGAAACACCCACGAGAATTCAAAACAAGAAATAGAATTCACAACATTTCCTACTGTATGAGCAGTGAAAAAATAGGTATGATTTAGAAGACCATAAAGGCACCACAGTTTGGGCTTAGTGCAATATGGGGACGTTTTCTTTTAAATCTTTTTACAGCATTAATACCTCCCAAATGAGGAATCCACATCAAGACATTCATTTTCACCATGCTTTTCATTTTCCAAAACGCATTCAGTAGGTCTTCAATATCAATAATGAGGTTGTTAGTTCCTAGAATAAGGGGCTTTGACAAGGAAATACCTGAAGGAACCAATTTTCAAAAATAAAAAATCTCCACTACTAAGAGCGAAGTCATCAATCACCTCTACTAGAGGTCTTATATTTTCTAGTTCTCGTCACACACATTGCCACAGTTTAATCTGTTGGCCTTTATTTTTTGATACCCTTCATGTAACTCCTTCAGGTTCATTAAAACAAAAGGTTTACACGATGCAGTTAATGAGATCTAAATAATTTTTTTAAAAAAAACTTCACTGAATTGACTGAGAAAAAAAAAATTCCTAATGGCTCCAAGAAACAAGGTAAATATGGATAACAAAAAAAAAATAGCATAGTTTAATCCAGCGCATAGGGATTGCAACAGTAAAAGCTAACCTCCAAAGACAACAAGAACATATTTTACATCTAGAGAGTTGAAAATTTCCCAGGCTGCCTTCTCAGGAGAAGACATAGCAGTACCAACAGTTGCAATATGGGTATTGTTCCAGGTATTGTTGTCAACAATGACAGTACGATTGGCCATAGCAGTAGTTTGATAGCCATAGTCCCACCATGATGCAACCTAGGAAACACGTTTGAACAAGAAGCAACAACACCGCAGAACAAATTATTGCCTATGATAGTTTATACACAAATTTAGTAGGATCTTGGGAGCACTAAACATTTCAATGTAGAAATATAAGAGTGAGCGAAAGCTTACTTTATCATCAACCTCAGTGTTGTGGCTTAACCATGCATAAGCTTCTCTAAAGTCATCAAAAACATGGAGACCATCACGGGAGTGAGAAGTTAAAACAATAGAAGGGGCTGAATAAGCTTCTGCAGCTGCCCAGACACAATGAACCTACAACAGCCCGTAAACACAAAAACCATGTCAGTAAATAAATATTGTATGAGAAATGGAGAACAAGGAGAAAAAGAAGTGAGAAAATTAGTTTTCTGTTTTATGTGCTATAAAAGTGCAAGCATGGACCAATATAGCTGTTCCTTTGCACATATTCCTAAGTACAGTGTAAAGCCATAAAGAACCATCAGAAATCTTCTCACATTCAACTGTGATACTGTTGTTATTATTATTATTTTGTTAACTTATAGCACTTTTCTAAATGTAATTAAACCTATCAGTATATCCGCTTTTAACACAAAAGTACCTAACGTGCCACCATGTGTTTTACTCAAAGAACACAAGAACAAATCAAGAAGAGCGTGAAAGGATAGGTTATTTTTTATATTTGCGGGTGTTTAAACCAAATTAGATGCACCTCAACTAATCTCACAAAGACAGCCTTTTTTTCAGGTTTGCGGGTGCTTAAACCAAATTCGATGCACCTCAACTAATCTCACAAAGACAACCCTTTTTTTTAGGTTTGCGGGTGCTTAAACCAAATTCGATGCACCTCAACTAATCTCACAAAGACAACCTTTTGACCCCCTTTAATTTTAGCAATGAAAAACTTGTAATATTTGTAATGTTCAGGAAGAGTCATTGCTATAGTTTTAACTGATGATTTTGTTACAACCGGCAATGTGTTTCCTCATAAAGACGAAATCAAGTTAGAAGCTACCAGAAGCACAGAAATTAAAAATCCTGCTCCACAACAGCAACCAATTTTCTACCACTATTTTCTATGTTACACCTATGAAGCCTATGTTGCCTTTTCCTTTCTTTAGTTCAAGTTCGTTAGTTTACCTTTCAAGCCCCGTCAGTTCTTATAAAAATCTTGAGATAGAATGAAGACATCAGAGAAAAATATTTAACATAGTACAACAATTGGACAATTTAAACTTAATAGGCAGCTTCAATCAACATTGTGATCATTAACGTCAGCAGAGGAGTGATAAAGTACCCAAAAAGATAAAGACAGATATTTTTACTTACCACATAAAAGGCACCCAGCAAAATAAGTAAGAAAAGGGCAATAATTGATGTCGCGAAGGGTAAAACTAGCAGCCTTTTACGAATTTGGGACTTGAGTGAAGGCTTTTCAACTGGCTCCTTTTCCTTCTTTCTATTCTTTTTTGAGGGTCGTTCTTTAATTGTATCTTCACTTTTTTCAGGCTTCACCACATCATGTTGTGCTACAACACCATCAGAGACGGTAACTCCCACCTTAATTTCCAGATCCAAGAACCAACATTAGTTCCATTTTGATGGTCTTGTAAGAGGAAAAAAATAGCAAACATAAACTTAACCAACACCAAGGGAATAAAATTTACTTCTTGTGTATCCAGTGCCTCTCCGGGCTTCTGAAACTTGATAGACCGAGTAAAAACTTCAAAGGCTTGAGAAAGTGCAATTCCAGACAAAATGCATGCTGCTGGAGCAAGTACAAGCATAAGACGCACCTGTAGTATCATCCAAATAAGAAATGTGTTAAAGGGTAGATGATGTGCGTTAAATGATTAAATTTTTAATTTGGAAGTCAGAAAATGGTTCTCACCATAACTCCAGAGAAGTACACTGCTGTAACAATGTAGAGGACTACAAATGAGCTAGCATCAGATAATGGTGAAAAGCATGCCTATCAAAGGTAAGAACCTTGGTAAATTTCTGATGATTGAAACATTTTAAAAACAAATAAGTAATCTAAAAAAAATACGTACAATAATACCAGCTGGAACCAAGAATGCCAAAACGTTGATGTCCATAAAGTAAGATGGCCAAGTAGGTGGTTGATGCTCACTAACACTAGCAATTATTGGTATATACTTGCTTGCATAAGTTCTGTTCGATTGCAGCAAAACAAAATAAATGTGAAGAGTGTTTCAGGAAATGAAGATAGAAAATAAAATATTACACCACTTATTTACGCTGTAAGAAACACTTTCCCATGCCAATGATACCATAGGCAACTATTCCTGAAAATGCTAAAAAGTTACTTCAAAAAGGGGAGAGAAAAACAAACAGAATAATTTGAAATGTTTAAGTGTTAAAATGAGCGTAAGTGCCCAACAAGTGTTTTATATCCTAACAACTCAAGGTTAGAAAAAAGACCGGAAAAGCAAATTAAATTAAATAGGATCGACAATGTTGTTAGATAGGATAGCAGCCAAGAGAACCGTTATGCCAATTTGCATCATTCTTTTTCATGAAGGATCAAATCTTAGCTAGATCACAATCACACTCGATTCATACAACTATCAGAAAAATTCATGAACAAATTTAAATTAAAAAAACATGATCCTGTGAGAGCTGGTTTCTTACGGGTCTAAAAGACTCAGACTACGCCCACTCCACCCCTTGGTTGGGCTGGAAGCAACAAGAGCTACCAGAACTGCAATGACTGCACAACAAACTGCCCTGAAGAGTAAACAATAAAGGGTGAGGTCAATTGTATATTCCTCCTACAAACACTCAGCAGTGAGGGTTTGAGAGCTTATTTTTGTGGGAGAGGAAGGGCACAGAAAGCTTACAGCCCAATAGATACTACGAGAGTAACAGCCACTCTAAACATTTTCTGGGAGAGAATTCCTTTGATATAGTAAACGAGAGCCACCACATGGATAATGATGAAAACCTGAAAACAAACCAGAAACGAGGAAACGAGCCATGAGCAAAACAAATTTTAAGAGACTAAACTATTGCTCACACTATTACACATCAATAAAATATTGAGTCAAATGAAAAAAAAAAAAAAAAAAAAAAAAAAAAAAAAAACAAACAAATAAACCCACGACTAGTCATAAATCTTCTTGCTGATATTTAAATTTTCATTTATTAATATCGATGAGCGTCTGGGCCAGTTTGCCCGCACCTAGACTAATCTCACCAGACAACCGTCATATTCTACTACATTTGGTTGACAGGAAAGACATAGGATATTAAATCTTAGGTAGGTGGCCAACATGGATTGAGCCCGTTCCCTCTTATTTTTCCATGGCCCTTACAACCACTAGGCCTACCCATGATGGTTAACATTTAAAAATTTATCAGTCTTCTTTGGAGTTCTTGTTGTACAAAAATCATAATCTAGAATACTTATAGTTTAAAGGCACTGCAAATTAATGTCCTCCAGTAATAACAAAAGAAAAAAAGAAGCAAAGTGCAATTAAATCCTTTAGTCACAAAAACTAAGCTAAAGACGGAACAAAAATCAAATTTGAGCATTAACAAGACAATTTGCAAAAAATAATTGGAGCTCGTCAGTCAAAGTATCAGCAATAATACTAACCAAAAATGATGCAAAATGTTCTGATGTCATAACTGCATTAAATCCAACGACAGGCACCAGTGCAGCCAATAAAGTTCCCAAGACGACCTGAATTGTGAAATCCACACAAGTTCAAGATGAGCTAATGAATCTCGCACATAAATTAAACTTTTACATTAAGGTATTATATGTTTTTGAATTTGGAAGATTTTTATTCAATCGCTTCAAATCTACAATTTTCATCAGGAAAAGGCACTCCAAGTTAAGCCAGGTGACACTTACAAGAGGAGCATATGCAATATACAATCGAGGAGAATAGCGCCCAGTTACAATGCACAAGAGTGCATGCATTGGAATAAGATTAATAATGAATGTGTAACCTCCCCATGAGCAAACCTGAAAAGAGGGGCATGAAGAAAAAAAACAAAAAAAAAAAAAAAGGCAGAGAAGATATGCATGAAACATATCAGAATGCAAAGAAGACAAATAAGAATAAAGTTATAAAATGACGAAGCATAAATAATCTTACCATGTAGAAATATGCAATGGCGTTTAAAGTGGCATAAAAAAGGGATCCAGTGTTCAATGTCTGCATTTCATATGTAACCAACTCAGTGTATGGTTAAGTAGAACAGAATAAGACAGTGTAAGCTCAGACATCAACGAAACTTTGCTTCCTATCAATATAATGATGATTATTATACTAACAAGATAATGGGAATATAAAATTAAGCATCTGAGAAGCCTCATACAGATAAATCCATCGACCAGAAACTCAATCTGACTATAGCAAAGCAACTCCTTTAGTAACAGCATTTGAGCACTATTAAAATAAGTATGCCACTGTCCTTGAAAATTTTACATTCCTCTCATATAACAAAATCTGACCTTTATATAGAGATAGAAAGTGAAGATCAGAGCAAATATAGCAACAGCTTCATTGTCATAGCTGCCAGCCACAGACCGCGATATATATGAAGGAACCTGTGAAAAAAAAAAAAAAAAAAGAGCAGCAACTTAACTACGAATTTCCACATCTATCAATTGTACAGTTTCAAACAAGCACACAATACTTAGTAGACAGACATGATCTAGAGATGCATTCTGGTCTAGCAGCCTCCATGCATGGAAGAGTTTGGAGATTTTGCAGCAAATTTACATTAGGGCTTGGTTCATACAAAAACAACAGAACAATTACAAGGCATTTGGCCATAAAAATAGAATAATACATATCAGACGTGGATCACACATGGGAATGAAAACAACAGTCGCCTATTCTTCATGAGAGTATTGTTTATTACCAATGAGGAGTAACCATTTCAGTAAGAAACACTCCACTCTCAACACTCACCAGACTGAGCCTAAGGTCACTACAATAAGCTGATTGGATGTTGCAATTTAGCAAATAAGTCATATGAATAAAAATTAAAATGATTATAACTATAGATAATGGGGAAATGTCTAACTGTTGGTGTTTGATGTTATTGTGATAATAGTTGACTACAAAGAGGTCCATAAGTGGAGTTTCATGGTTTTATCAAAATATCAGTGATGTGTAAATACCATGGCCAAAAGAGCAGCAGCTGTCAGTCCAGCACCAGCACCTTTAACTTCCTGATAATTAGCGTACGGGAATTATTTTGACTAATCAAAGAGCATGGAATGAGTCAAAAAAATATGACATGTTGCAGGAATCCAAACCTTAGTTAACAGGTAAGTTGCCCATGAAGCAAAAGCAGAGAATATGGGTGCAGTGAATACACAAACAGTTTCCACAGATAAAGGAATGTTTAAGGCATTGAATACCCTAGCAGAAAGAAATAAAGAGAACATTAGTCGGTATAGCACATTTATAGCAAGGATTATCAATTTCTTTCACCTCGTTAAGAAGAGACATCCATAAAGAATGCTTGCCTCCTTAACTGATAGACAGGTGAGATGATGAGAAGGATTGTTATTTCAGAATCGATTAATATAAGTTCTCAAACACACACCGCCATAATGTGCCTGCAGTTAATGTGAGACCAGGATAAACGGTTCCACCAATTACTCTCCCTAGAGGATACCTAGAGAACATCAACACACAAAATCACTTTAAAGCTGTTAGGGTAAAAGAAACGAAAGTCCAAGCCATGAAGACTTGGCTCTGAGAATTTGCCGCCCAGAAAAGTAAACGTTACCAGGTCCGATCATCAAACCAATTCCAAAATTCATAAATTCCCTTCTTTGAAAGATACTGAAAAGAAAAATACAGACATTAACTTCCGGTGCAGCTGAAGGGGTAATTGTGGAGAGGTTGGCATGCAAGATTACCAAGCGAAGCTAACATACTATGCCCGTAACCCCTAGCTTTAAGCTTTATAAGAATTCCGTATATGCAATAAAATGAACAGGTAGCAGCCAGAAAACAAACCTGGGTAACTCGGTAGTTAAAATAAGGATCAAATTCGTGAATAACGCTCTCATACTTTATCACCTGCAAATCGTTGTAAGTAATAATGTGACTAAACGCTCATAGTAATACACATATTAAAAAATTCAACCAAAAAACAGATTTTGGACTCCTCTATAGACTAATTCTTCACGTTTCGTATAAACCAGAGAGAGAGATGCAGCATTTGAGCAATAATTTACAACCATGCGAAATGGAGCTCCTTGATCTAAACCATGGCTTGTCTATACATCTTTGTGGGCATTCGGGATGAATAATTAAGAAAGCGTCAGATCAAGGGATGAGGAGAAATGAGAGATCGAAAAGCTTACAGAAAAGAGCCGAATTGAGAATGCGAGGACGCCGATCAAGATGAGAATGAAGACAGAGAGAACATTTCCAAATGCGTCCCTTAGCGTTGATCCTTTTGCGGGAACTGAGACCGCCATTGACGGCCGGATAGAGGCGCGAAAGTGTCTATCAGAGGGGAGACCGCGAAACAAGAGTAGGTCGCAACTCAACTGAGATAGAACCAGAGAGATACAAACGACTTTGCAAACACAAGTATTACGGAGTCCAAGTCCCAAGTCCAAGAGTAAATTCTTTTTTCTTTTTTTTTTTAATGATAATATCTAATTCAAAATTAAAATTTTATAATCTTATTAAAAATAAAACTTAAATCAATATCTAATATGTCAATTAGTTTAAAGAAATATTAATAGAGATTCCTACAAAAGATTAAATCCAAGTAGACTCAAATATTTAAATTTAAATAACATATACAAATTCGTCTTTATTATACATAAGTTTGTCAAATATAAAATAACTTAACTAATTTGTATCTTCATTAAAAGGTTAAATATTTAAATATTTATTTTCAGTCGTTAAAGTGTGTACTGCATGTATAATATAAACAAAATGCCTAATTTTGAAAAGTATATATTATGTATTTAGTTCGATTCCATCCCAAATAATTTATTTGAACGACTAAAATGTGGATGTGTTGACTACAATGAGCGTGATTATATAGTTTAACATATAATATCGATCTAAAGATGGTAGGTTTGAATTGCCTACTCTAAATGTTGTTAATGTATGTATGTTTTATTTATATTCATATGCCTCGAACGTTTAAATTCATATAAGTTTAAGATATGATTATAGGTAACGAAAGATAAGTTTGAATAATAAAGTTTACGAAACTTATGTCTATCAGTTGACGTATTTTGTTGGATTTTTTTCCTCGCAATTCGATAGCTGTGGGGTGCAAGAGGAGATCGCCATCATTATAAGTGATAATAAATACAATATCATCGAACTATACCATAATAAACAAATTTAAATAATAATTGATATTTAGTTTAAAATATCATAAATACTATTCGAAAATAAATTATATATCATATTGAAATATCTGAAAAGAAAGATTGAAAACAAAAATCGTATTTAATACATATAATCTTAATAGATAATTGATAAAAACAATCACTAAATAAAAAATAGGATAATTAATTTCCCATTTATTAAGATTTAAAAGCTAAAAATTTGTGAAACGATTAGAAAAAGATTCCCATAAAATTGAACTCAACTATATATATTTAATTTAATTATATTAAAAGAACAGAAAGAATAATTAAAATGAAAAATTTAAGCTAAAATGTAAAATATAACATTCATGAAGTGTAATTAAATTTTAGCAAATTTAAAGTATTGAAGCCCAAGTTTGAGATGATGGTGTACTAAAATTTCAAACTTCTCAATCCCGGGTCACGTGACCCATGTTCTTTGAAATATGAGGTAACACGTGCCATACCGATTTGAAACTAGAGGAGAAGCCCCCACAAACGCTCAAAAGCCAGAAACCCCTCTCCTCCTTCCCTCTCTTCCTCCTCCTTCCCTCTCGCGCTGAATCGAAGCGGCCATGGAAGCCACACTTACAGACTGTGTTCATCACAGTCTTCGCCATCTCATGTACCGGAATGCCATTTTCATGTGCGAGAGACTTTGCGCAGAGTTCCCATCTGAGGTTCTACATCTCTTTCTCCTCTTCGTCAATAGTTCACTCACTCACTTTCCTGTCTAGCTTTTTAGCTGACTAGAAACTGTACAAATCTCGAATAGCGTGATTATGAGGTTGATTTCGGAAATCCGGTCGGAGTAGGTCGTTCCGTGCACCAATTTTTCTTTTCGTTTTTTTGTGCATTGGTAGTTTAAACTGAAGTGGACGTTTATGCTGCTCGTGGAAATTGTACCTGCGGTGCCCCCCATATGTTTGATTTGGTTTTGTTTGCAATCTCCACCGCCTCTCTTTCCCCTAGAAAGTATTTTGTGTTGACAGTTGCTCGCTACGTCAACATATCCCGCATGTTTTGTTTAATTGGAGATCTGTTTTTTACTAGCTTTATTGTCTGGAGATCAAATTTTAAGAAGATGGGCTTTTACTATTATCATTTGAATTATAGATGCACCTATGGTTGAATCTCGTCATAAAAGAATGAGAGTTTGAAAGAATAGACGAATAGGGGTTTCTCGGGTGGTTTAAATTTCCCGATGAACCCTCGGGGGTAACAATAGCTACGCCCTTTAAGGTTTCTAATTTTCCAGAGTCTCTCTCTCTATATATATGTATATGCACAATCACATACAATTTTTGCCTTATTAGCTGAATCAACTGTATTTTTTAGACTGCTATCTTCTGATTGATGTGGTTACTGAAGGATTAAATTACTTTCTTTCAGCATTTATATGATTTCTTCTTTTATCTTCACAGACAAATATGCAGTTACTAGCTGGCTGTTTTTTGCACAACAATCAAGCTTATGCTGCATACCGTATACTAAAAGGTAAGTTGGATTGTTGCTCAGTTCAGTCCATTCCTCTATTATATTCCTATCAATCTTTAGTGACTTCTCTCTTGAACTTATATCAGTAGCTTTGTTTGAGTATTTCTCATCTATGAACTTTTCCCCTTTTCTCTCCATGCTTATATGAAGGAACACAAATGGCTCAATCCCGCTACTTGTTTGCAATATCATGCTTTCAGATGGATCTTCTTCACGAGGCAGAGGCTGCATTATGTCCACCTAATGAGCCTGGTGCTGAGGTATTGAAGAATGAATATTCATTGTAATTTTTGGTTGTTTGCCGTCTTTTCCTCTTAGAGAGTAAAAGTTTTTTTTTTTTTTAATGTTGTTATGATTTCATTCTAAAATATACTGTGTGGGATCAGGCAGTCATCTGGTCTGGTTGTTTAACCCCAATAAAATGATGTCTGTATCTATCACGTGGTACCTAGCTCCATTATCTTGTGCATAATATATGTCTTTTGCATGTGTTCTTTTTGCAGATTCCAAATGGTGCATCAGGTCATTACCTTCTCGGGCTCATTTACAGGTTGCTAATATATTTTTATCTTTGTTCCATTGTGAACTTTCATGCATTGATTGCCCTTCGCTTTCGACATATTTACACATACGTTGTGTGGTCCATCTCCAATTTTTTGTGGAGGAACTTATTTGTTATCTGGCCAGATGATCATCTTTTCTCATAAGATATTATGCTTCAATTTCACTCCATAAATATTATTTGTTTGGATTTTCTTGTTATAGGTACACTGACAGAAGGAGAAGTGCTATTCAACATTTTCAGCAGGCATTGTCTCTAGATCCTTTGATGTGGTGTGCTTACGAGGAGCTCTGTGTATTAGGTATGTACAAATCATCACTGATCCTTGCGAACAGCATGTTCATGGAGTTGTAGGAATGAATCTGCTCTCAAACTAAACTGATTCATCGCAAGATTGAGTACATCAGACATATTTAGTTGTTTTTCATGATACTATAGTTGCACTTTGTATTTTTGTATGAGGTGTATAGTACTTATTATGCTATTTTCTTTTCTTTTTGATCACTGATGACCACCTGTTTGTTGATTGAGATTTATTTTTCTTTTGGGGAAACAAATATTTGAGGTGAGGATGAGTTAAATTATTTTGCTGTTTACTATCTTAGGTGCTGCTGAAGATGCATCTTCAGTTTTTGGTGAAGCGGCTGTTCTTTGCATACAGAAGCAGTATCTAAATCATAGATCCGAAAATTTGCAGACATCAAATGATGATATGAACTCAGCTTCTTCTAGGAATAGTAATTCCGACGATGTCCGAACTAGGCAGTCAAAACATACTCAAAGCAATAATTTAAGAGATATTCCTACAAATTATCACGGGGCAGTTAACTTGGGAGGAGCTGGAAGTCAGACTGTAAATGGCGGTTCAAATATATCATTTTATAACACCCCTTCACCTGTAGCTGCGCAGGTACGTAAGAATAATTATAGCTCACGGTGCTGAAGATTTTATTGTAGTTTGTGCCTTGGATGTTGGTGGTGATTGTTTGGCCATATTTATTTGAACAATGCCTAATTGAACCTATGGCTTGTCAAGGTGGCAGATTTTAGTCTCCCTCTTTCGTTCATCTCCTTCATCCTCGCTACAGATATTTAAGTGTGTTTTTTTTTCTTCTATTTTGATTGAATAATGTACTCTGTAACCTAAACTTTTCCTTCAGTGCCTTGTTTGGTCCCATAGAGGATGAATTATATTGGTGGTATTGTATATTGTGTATATCTATTTCTATTTTTTATGTTAATTCTCCAATTTTATGTTTTTTTCCTTGCATATTTATCACTTGAATGTATCTCTGTCTTCTATCTATTCATATCCACCTTTTATTTATTATCTGTGCTTCTCTCCTGTACATCTAGTTATGCGACTAATTCCTCATCGTTTAGAATTTGCAGTTATCTGCCATCGCTCCTCCACCTTTATGCAGAAATACACAGCAGAATGGATCTAGTCTGAACTCACTTGGTTCTGATAGCTGTTCAAGGTCAACTATAAACTCTATCATTCAAGCCCCTCGAAGAAAATTTGTTGATGAAGGGAAATTACGAAAGGTAAAATGTTATAGAAACTTTGTAGCAGAATATATCTCTACTTCTCTGCTTTAATATATTGAATTCATAATCATATCCAAGAGTTCATTTTCTTGTCTTCAGATTTCAGGGAGGTTATTTTCTGATTCTGGCCCTCGAAGAAGTAGCAGACTTGCTGGGGAAGCAGGAGGCAACACAAACGTAAGTGCTGCAGGAGCTGCCAATAATGGAGCTACCAACTCCACCAAATATCTTGGTAGCTCCAAGATGAATTCTATTACATTTCGTTCTGTAGCCGTTCGTAAAGGACAATCCTTTGCAAATGAGAATGTTGACGAAGGTAACAAATATTTCATCTAACTTCCATCTGCTGCATGGGTAGATATGCACAATCATTTTTTGTCAGATAGTCTAGTAGACCTATTGGACCATAATTTGAATACTGGAATCTTTCATGATTATTATTATAAGAGATGTATTGTAAACAAATGATCACTTGGATAATGACATCTGATAATCAAATTAACTTTTTGGGGTTTATTTGATTAAAGTAAATTTCCACAAATTTAAATGGCTAATAGGTTACTGTTTGCACTTGTAATCATACTTTACTT